GACAAAGAATTTTCAAGTATATCCATAGAAACAATGAAATTGGTATTTGGAGGCCGGTGTGCTACCCCAAATGCCGTAGTTAAGCCACCCAGCCTCAACTTCATAAATATGCATACCAGACAAGAATAAGTAAATTAATTATATTGCGGACATTATATTTTGTTCTTTGTAGAAAACATGTAAGATTAGTTGTTAGATGTCCTTTTTGTTTTTGATTCTAGCGCACTTCAACGACTTCATCTAGCGATTTCGTGTTTTTTGCTTTGGCAACGCTGTTTGTGTGCATAATTTGAAATGCCAATCTTGCGACAATTTTTGATTATCTAGGTGAATATTTGGATTATGATACAAAATACGGCTCATCGTGTGTACAAATAAATATCACTTGAAGGTCTTTAGTAGAAGAAAAATATAGTTTACCACCAAGTAGTTTGAAAATGCTTGACTTCAAATCACGAAGAAAGTGAAGCATTAACATTTCAGGTAATTTTATTGTCAGGTCAAGTAGTTTATGGAAATTTCAAACCACTTGACGTGCTGAATCAAATACACATATACCAAGACCAAAAAGTATATCTGATGATTTTGTTTGTTTCAGTACTTACCAGTCGGGCGTACATCAAATAATCGCAAATATCAAAAGGGCTAAGCGTCGTCAGCTTTTGGAGTATATCGCGGAAAAGTACTTGTGTGTAATTATTTTTACGGACCTTCTGTGAAACGAAATAACAGCTTTCTGTTATATTTGTTCATTAAATTCTTACAGAGAAAAATCATTAACGTTGTTCTTTTAACGAAGCGATAAGTAATCGACCGCGGTTTTCATGAGCGGAGTAGCAGTCCAACAAAAGGATCACAAAGGCTTCGTGTGGAGAGACCCAAGGGCAAGTTTTGAGGTTTATTTAACAGCATTGTTGACAGCTGAAGAGAAAAAAAGAGTGAGGCAATGGACTTAGTTATTCTCAAAAAATAATACAAATCTATATAAATATCGAGAATTTAGAAATTTTAATATTTTCATATTTTCGCCCTATCCAGAAAAAAGCTATGCCCAAAAACTATAGGAACTTATGAAAAGAATTTTTGCTGTCACTGCACCGAAATTTACGATTCCTTTTCATCCTCAGCATGATAATAAACTTCTGCACCATGTCATCACAATCTAAACAGTGTCCTCCGAACTGTACCCTATAGGCCTTTATAACAAATTTTCGGTATTTTTCCAAAAAATTTATATGTATGTGATCCGGGCTTCTGCTAGTCATAGCTAGCTTTCAAGGAACTGATAGCTTAGTAGACATTGTGTCCAAGGTGGGGATTGGAGATGTCATAAACGGTTAGGCTTACAATATTGCTTAAAGCGGGAAACACTTGCCAGTTGCCTTCTGCATGGTGTTAACAGTTTTAACCATTTAACAATTTAACCAACATAGTAGCTCTAACCATTTCTGAGATCGCAGTTTTAGCCTTTACGTAAAAATTAATTCTGCTATATTTTGTTCCGGGAGGCATTCGAATTATCAGCCCAATGAAACACTGAGAAACTCAGGAAAAATCACTTGTGAGTGAAATATCTTCCAAACTCATTATCGGATCAGTCATTTTTGACCTGGACCTACCCTCCAGTATCATGAAAATGCCTACTTTTGTTCTAAAATATCCAAAATTGACACCAAAGTCTATTATTGAGTTAATCGAAATTCCAGAGTGTACAATTCACACAGGGAGATAAGCTGGTCCTTCTTTACGAAAAAAATTAAGTTTTTGAAATTTTTGTGCCTAAAGGCAATAAAACAGTGGAACCCTTCGAAAAAAAGTATGTTGACTGAAATATCTGCCGAGCGAGTTACCAGATCGTGATTTAAACGTAACTTTTATATTCGTCAGACAATTTTATTTCGGAATAGACAGGAGAGGCGGGGATATGGAAAGTTGTCAAAACGAACCTTCAAATTTTAAGCCCGTCTCCAGACAATACCGTATGACCTAGATCCCTCAAATTTCATAAAGTTTAATGCCTTCATGAGTACTTTCAAGGAAGAAACACTCAATCAAATACAGGCATACGTACTCTATAATAATTCATAGGTCATCTGAGTATCACAGTGCAACAGCCATCTAGTGGTGTGACAACAACAAAACCTATCGAAAACTACGTTATTGATGCATTCTTCAATTATAGCGTTTATTGTGCGCAAGGGCATCCGGTAATCTTCACCCAAGATAATGGTATTTCTTCCAACCCTAAAAAACAGTATGATACCGCCACTGCTTCATCTCTACTTTGCAAAAATAGCCGTCAGCACTTTTGCCATCAGAAGCGTGGCTGAGAGAGAAAGAAAACCATCATTAAACACACGCTGGGAGTTTTTCTTTTGGCTCTTTTTTTTTTTGGCCCGCACTGCAACTGTATTCTCGCTAGGGCGTCACTGTTGCCAACCCTTAGCGGACAATAATTGATTCAATAAGTGGAAAAACACGCTTCGTAGCCACGTCGACTGCCCCTTCCACCCGCACCCTTCGTGTCTGCCAAACACACCGATATCAGTAAACTGAAAATAAAAATAAATACGTACACAAAATGCCTGCTGCAGCAAAATATTTGAATGCGGATTCTGTCTGGTATAGGATTTTGCTCCTGCAACTGTCTCGTACTTCTAAGAGTCTACAGAATTCGAATAAATCGATCTTGACATTTACGTGTCAGGATGGAACGATTGTATCCGACTCAAAGGCCAAGGCCGAAGTGCTTGCCAATAGCTTTGCTGCCAACTCCACCATTGACGTTCTCATCAACGCCCACTAGGCGGGAGGTAACATTCAGGCATAAGACCGTAAGACGGGTGCTCTTGTCGCTCGACATCAACAAAGCTTCTGGTCTGGACTTGATTCCTGCCATTGTACTGAAGAGGTGTGCAGCGGAGCTTGCTCCAGTTCTTTCTCGTCTCTTCCAGATATCTTATGAATCCGGCACCTTCCCAGAAAACATGTATAACCCATTCCAAAAAAAGGATCTAAGACCGACCCTTACAACTACAGGCCTATAGCTCTGCTTTCTGTTATAAGTAAGGTGATGGAGAGGTGCGTGCATAAATCGCGAGCTTCTGGAATACCTCGTACGTCACAGCTTGATTACCGACAGATAGTTTGGTTTCCGGCACCAGCGATCCACATGGACCTCCCAGCTTACGTCACGCAATTGTGGAGTAAACTCATCCAGTCTTATGACGAGGCTCATGTTGCTCTTGACATCACGTTCGATCAGCTGTGGCACGCTGCCCTCTTAAGCAAACTTCCATCCTACGGCCCCCCAGAAACGCTTTGCAGATGGCGACTAACTTTATCTCTGGCCACAAGACATTCCTCGTAACTGACGGGTTCTCGTCTTCATCCCACAACGTCAACGCAACGTCAACGCGGGTGTTTCCCAGGGATCGGCCTTGGCTCCGACACTGTTCCTCTTACATATCATTGACCTCCTTTCCCACACGATCAACCCAATCCACAGTTTCGCTGATGACAGCACTCTACATGCAGGAATTCAGAGTGACAAGTCGATCTCTGCCGCTGAGCTGGAAAAAGAAGACTAGCGACGACTTAATCTCTAACGAGAGACCTGGAGGTTATCTCTGCTTGGGGACGCAACACTATTGTACAGTTTAATGCTTCCAAAACACAGTACTGTACTTTGACAAACAAGAAGCGTCCTAGCGCTCATTCGGGCATTCGGTCTCGATGGATGGCCGAGTTCTGCCAAAGAGGCATTCATTTCGGCTGGTCGCAGTCCAGATCACCGAGGACTTGATCTAGCACGAACACATCTCGTCAATAGCGGCAGCTGCTGGGAAAAAGCTAGGCTATTTATCCAGGGGTAAGACGTACTTTTCATCGCATGAACTTTTCAATCTATACAAGGTCCTGATAAGGGCTAGCCTCGAGTATTCCTCACCCGTTCGGGGTGCTGCCGCCCCGACTACATTATTTGTGCTCGATGCTGTCCAGAGGGGGGCGGTCCGACTAATCGATGGCTCCTCTCTAACAGACAGTCTCGGGACCCTTTCGCACCGGCGGACCGTCGGCGATCTAGCTTTTTTCTATCGCTACACGAACGGGCTTTGCTCCTCAGAGCTCTCTTCCATGATACCGCCGCGCGATGTGCCTGACACACCCGCCTTACTTTGGCCTCCCATCCTAACCGTGTCGAACTTCGTACATCCAGAACTTGCCGATACGACCGCTCCTTTATCTTGAGGGCGTGAAGATTGTGGAACAATCTACCAGAGGAAGCTTTTCCCAGCTCTACCAGGCAGTTAAAAAATCGTATTAACAGAATTTCTTTGGGATCATCATAGCAGCCGCGGTGTTCCCGGCATTTAGGCTTCTGCCTGCGCAGCTGCTTCGGTATGAGAAAAAAATAAGCAAAAAAATAAACAAATTTGAAGACTGTCAAACTAACCCAGAAACGTTAAGCATTGGATCATTATGCTTGAAGAGTCGATCTTGGATGCTGTATAGTGTTAAAAATTTAACTAAACATTCTCTGCAACATAATTCTCAAAAGAACAAAACTCATCAAAGGACAAGGTTTGATTTTTCATATTTTTGACTTATTCAAGAACTTTTTTGACTACACCCAACAATCATTGTAAGGTCGTTAAATATATAAAGCTGAAGTGTCTGCAGCTTTTGGTTTTGAGTCCATAATTTCACCGCCACTGGATTAATTTTCAAATGAGTTTTCACCCTTGGCATAGTAGTAACCTTGAAAAACAGGTTTGCAGGCGTATTGTATTATATTTTTTCTTTCTTAGCAGACCGGCTGGGCAAACTTGCTGACTATATAGTTCCTAGTGAGCAAATATACTAAGTGACATATAAATCCGAACACCCAGTTTAAATGGTTTTATTCTAATAAAATTTTGTATAAATACTTAATGAAGTATAATAAGTAAATGATAAAAATTTCAAAATGATTGCACTGCTTTAAAGCCCTTTGACCTTTAATAATGTGTGGATGCACCCTGATGTGCTACGCATTCTCCAACGCGCCTAGGCATGCTTCTGATCAGGTGGTCAATGTCCTCCTGTGGTATCTCATTCCAGGCAACCACAAACTCCTCTCGAAGTGCTTCTAGAGTCTGAGGAGGACGTTGCAAATTGAGTCTCCTACCCATCATATCCCACACGTGCTCAATTGGGGATAAGTCGGGAGATCTTGGTGGCCATGGTAACAATGTGACATCATTATGTTGAAAGAAGTCTATTGTGACTCTTGCAACATGTGGTCGGGCATTATCTTGTTGGAAAGTTGGATCTGCCAGGGTGTCAAGTTAGGGTAAAAGATGGGGTTCTAGAACTTCGTGGATATGACGCTGCGCGTTCATGTTACCTCTGATGAAGATTAAAGGTGACCTGGAACCATAAGCTATAGCACCCCAAACCATAACTCCAACAGTGTGATGAACATGTCTTTCAACAAAAAACTGTGGATTCCTCCTTTCACCACGTCGCCTTCTAACCCTGGCACGACCATCGTGCATGCCTAAACAAAATCTAGACTCGTCACTAAAGCCAATACTGTTCCATTCCTGATCCCAGAGTGACCGTTGTCTGCACCGCTCACGGCGATTACATCGGTGTTCTCGAGTTAAAGGGAGGACCCAGTGTGGCCGGTATGAAAACAAGCCAAAACTTCTCATTCGTCGGTAAACACTTCGCATGCCAATAGGTCTTCCGCGTTCTGCAAACCATTCATTTACAATGGACCTGGTAGTGGAGAAACGGTCCCTTAAGGCGGCCAATAATCTTAGGCGGCGATCTTCACGGTCTGTTGTTCTACGGCGGCGTCCAGTACCCCTTGCTCTTTGCGTACGGCCTTCTCGAAGCCATGCCTGACAACACCTAACCACAGTGTCTACACTTCTTTGCACTCTAACTGCAATTGCCCGAAAAGAAAGTCCAGCTTCCCGAATTCCCACTATACGGCCCCTATCAAACTCACTAAGTTGATGACATCGTACAGGTCTCCGTAATCTAGGCATCGTAGCCGATCGTAAAGGATGTCAAGAACCAAAATACGCCAACGTTGATTCTTTACTGCGGCTAAAATATTCATTTTTAGAGCGTTGGTGAATTAAAAAAAGCAGTATAAAAACCGGAATGTCTAACTGATAACGCTGAAAATTTTTTCACTTGTTATTTACAGTAAGATAAATACATTCACCAACTGTTATTAAAATAAAACCATTTAAACTGGGTGTTCGGATTTATATGTCACTTAGTATAGTTAATTCCGCGATCGCTCGCTATAAGAATTGGAGGAATCACTCAACGATCGACATGCTCATTGACCAGCTGCAGTTCCACAGCATGCTTTGTTGGTTGCAGAATGACAAGAGTATGTAGAGTATATTTCTGAGAAGATGTGACAAAGAAAATTGGTTGAATAGCAGAGTAGCAAAACAAATTATTACCGAATATGTTAATCAGTTGTACCAGATGGGTTATTTGTGTTCTCCTCTTTGAAGGGACGTTTTGTTCAAAGTTATAAATTAAGATTTTCCCCAAATTCTTGGGTCTTCAAGAATCAAAAACCATTATGGGAAATCACGACCACGACCGGCACGGGTGTCACGTATCTTGAAAAGTGACATTATGCCGATTTTTTTTGACATTATGCTGTTTTTTTTGACATTTTGTAGGTTTATCTACAAGATGTTAGCTTAGCACTTAGTTGTACGTGTTGCCTAAACGTCATGAGGCTTGTTATCAATCTTTGGTTCTGATGTGATGTAAAGTCTGCTTGTGAGATGGCATTACTGGAGGTCTAAGCTGTAAGTGGTGTGTTGATGATAATTACATGGGGTTCTTGTCTCAAATACACTTAATTGAGATTCAAAGCTAGAAATTAGTTGCGCAGCCACTTTTTCTTATCCATTCTGGAAATTACCTATACAAATTTGCTGAATTTCAAAAATGAGAGAGATAAGAAGTAATTATATTCACTGTACACTGTCGAATTACAAGCCATATAAAAGGCTACCAGTAATTACACACAACGCGGGCGCCGTGATGATATCCGCAATTCTCCTCAGTTTTTGATAATTCATAACTTTGAACATAAGCTCTCTTCAGAAAGCACTTCATAAAAATAACTCGTCGGGCACAACCAATAGAGATACTTTATTGGCAACATATTCAGTAATGATTTTCTCCCACAGCAAATATCACTGATTTTATACACATGCACACCAATACACATAATCATCAATAATGCGATCTTGCTATTCAATCAACTTTCTTTTCAGAGATAAAAACTACAGACTAGGACCACTCGGCCTCATAAAACATATGCAACCAATAATGCGTGTTGTTTAGTTGAGTGATTCCTCCATAGATGGACGTTCACAACGATCCTAGTGAGCAAACATGGAACGACCGTTTGCGCCCTAAAAACTACCTAGTATGCAAGTTGACATCTTATAGGTTTTTTTTGACGTTTTGTATGTTTTTTACATGATACCCGTGCGGGTTGTGCGGCCACTTAACATAAAAATTAGGAATAACGCATCACACAGGGAACATTTTCTCAGTGCCTCACGTCTAGGCGCTGATTTGTTTTTTCTACTTGATATCTTAAAATAAATTTGTATCAAATTCAAATGACTGGAAATAAGAAATAATGTAAAGGGTAATACATTTTTCACGTTTCATAAATATTCCTGTCTGCGGCATATTTTCTCACCTATTGGTGACCAGGGATTTTCTTTTCTTATCTCTACCATTTTTGAAATTCATCAAATTTGCATATGCAATTTTTGGGATGAACAAAAAGAAATATTTTCGCGACTAGTTCAAAGCTTTACCTACATCTCAAATTTAGCACACAAATTCTCGCTATGCACCTATACACTGGCGTTTTTCTCCAGCTGTAATATACAAGTTACAGCTTAGACCTCCAATAATGCCATCTCTGAGGCAGCTACAGAAGGAGTACACATCGAGTGACAACAATTAGTTCCGAGTTGACATCTTGTAGAAAAACTTAAACAATGCCGCTTTTTAAGATACGTAATACCCCTGCCAATTTTCAAATAAGCATCACTGCCTTTCACGATCGAAGATGGATGATTGCCGAAACACGTGTTGAAAGATAAAAAGTTCACTACACCATCCTGAGGGAGAATAATTCCTGCTTAAAACTGAATTTCTAGGACGTTGTTCCTCATACGATTCTGGTCAAAGGTTTCCACCGGCGGACAGTTTTAGGATCAGTACTGCGCAAACATAAGAGATTCAAAAATGTTTTCTGGTCGGGTTGGCTGCATTTTTTCTATTTGGTCCTCTATACCATTTTGTAAGGATGGCACTAACGTTGAGGTAGCTATTTTATTTTTAATATGTGGTCAAAGATGATATAAGATCACGTTGGCAACTTTTGTAGAACCGCAATTTTTCCGTATCTGCTACGCTTACATAAGCACATTTCATCCGTAAAGTTTTGAATATAATGGAAGGCAGTATACTGCATTTTCAGTCAAATCAGTTGGGAATTATTTTCCAAAACAATGGGGTTATGTCAGTTAACCAGTGGCAGTTTTTGTAGTTGCCCCCAAAATAACTCAGTGTTACACCTTCTTCCTACATTATAACTAAGTCAACACATCAATCTCGGAAACTTGGTCCTTTTCAGAAAAAAATTATGAATTATTTCCACATAGGTAGCAGCTTTATGCTTTATATTGTCCCTTATTTTCTTATGAATATTCAGCGAACCCGCAGTTTAATTATTTAATGGATATGTTGTTGAAATTAATGTCCTTATATAAAGCTTACACATGCCTAGCCATGTCCATAAAAACGAATTTTCTGAGAAAGCGAAATGTTTCCCTTCCAATAAATCAAGCAGAAGTTTTATAGGCGAACCTGAAGTAAAAAGCTGACGTAACAATACTACCTAAATACCTGTGAAACCCAATAAAACTATAAAGCCGTAATTCCACACACAACAAATGTTTCACGTTTAATGTTCATATAGTAAATAAACAACTTTTACGATTGTAGGTCTTTTGTTGGAAATCAATAAACTTGGTACGATAGGTAATTATAAGAAAGAAGTTAGAACCAATAAAGTGTCAAGCTGGGAAGGTTTATTGGACATCTATCTTAAATTCGTTCCGAAGAATGGAAACATTTGAATTAATAATTTTTTGTTTTTTATGGATTATCTGTTGGCTTGAAGGTAATTATGATGTCGTACAATGAAACTATTTTTAGTTTTATTGCTTAAGGAAACAACTGTTATGCAGGCGGTTCTCTATTTTATTGCTGCTGGACAGTGTGTTTTATAACAGCTGATTGATTACATTGCATCAGGTTAAGTTTAACGGCTCAATACGAGGGTATTATAAATTCTGTAAGTTAAATACTATCATTGTCAACATAATCGTAAAATTATGTTACTGTGCATTGAAATTTAAACGGTGATAGCTGCGAAAGCTATCTCTTGGTTTGTCTTAATAAAATGTAAAAACTATTATCGTCATTCTGGCATGTTTGCCGCCATGAATGATAGTCGTCTCAGCAACAATACAAGCTAAGAAGTATACAGGGTGCTGTCAAAGTTGAGTCATTTATTTTAACTGCTTGTAAGACTCGTCAAAGGGAGTTGATATACCAAAGATCACCTAAATAAAAGTTGCATAATAAAAGAAATGGCGAAGGATTAAACATTTCAAAAAATAAGTATGTTATTACACAGATATTTTGATATTCTCGACCACTGCCGTGTAAAATTTCAGCGTTTTCTGTTTAGTCTTATCGTTTATCTAAATTTGGCAAACCTTTTGTGTTATTATACGGTTTTCAGGACGAGTCTTTGGTTCGATCATTTAATGGTGCGAATAGGTTCATTTTTCTGATTATTTTGTGCGAAAAGATGGCCCATGCTTACGAAAACAATGAACTAATGGACATGATACTAACATACGGAGAGTGTCAACAAAATGCAGCATCAACTCAAGTTGAAGTTCCTCATAGTAAAGTGTGGAAAACAATACGACAAGAACAGTATTATCCCTAACGATTTTAAGAAATAATTTTGTGTACAGACGTGGCCACATTTACACGAAATGGACACAACAATTATTTTTGGGCGGTAGAAAATCCGCATGCCTTAAAAATAACTCATATTCAACATAGATTTCCATTAAATGTTTGGGCTGACATGGTAAATGGCACGCTTATTGGACCCTACTTTTTTCTACCTTGACCGACCGGTGAAATTTATTCAGATTTTCTTCCATACGAACTGCCACAATTATTAGAAGTTGTTCCTCTAAATGTGAGACAGAATATATGGTTTCTTCATGATGAGGCTCCACCACATTTCAAACGAAAAATTCATGAACATTTAAATAATGAGTTTCCGAATAGATGGATAGGGCGCAATGGACCCATTTCTTGGCCTGCTCGCTCCCCGGATTTAACGCCTTGAGATTTTTTCCTGCGGGACTATTTGAAAGAGTTGGTGTATCATGATGGACCAGCAAATACTCTTGAAGAACTTCAACAGCGCACTGAAAATGCTTGTGATTTAATTCGTGGACGCCAGGATTTC